AATGGTTTTCATTAAAGACCAGTGGTGAAGAATGTGGTGCTTTTCAAAAAACCTCCAGATATGTTAAATTCACTAAAGCTAGGGGTGAAGCTAGGGACATTCGTATTAATGGTGGCTTTGGACAATGTGATGTACCATTTAGATTCTTCAAAGAAAAGCTGGGAAATATTTGAAAATAAAATCTAGAATTCTTTTGCTTACATAAGAGATAATGCAAGGAATCTTGTATATTTGCTCATGAATGTGTTCTGAACATGCTTTTACCCCTAAACTGCATAATAAGTAGAGAAAAATCAGTCCATAGCCCACCTGTTTTCCCTTAATACCTAAAATCCTTACTTTTTTCCCCAATTTTGCTGTTATATATGCTTCCTTAATCTTATCTCCTCACAACATGCCGTTCTAATATGTTATAAAATTGCTGTTCAATGTTAATTTTTCCAAAAAATGTATGACATTGAGAAATAATAAACAGATGTATAATATAGGATTAACTATTAATAACACTTTCAAAAAAATAGAGACTGAGTCAATTTCAACCAGCAATCTTTTGACCTTTCTCTGAAAAAAAAAATACAAAAACATTGACCATGACTGCATCAGAAATTAAAAAAAAAAATTTCAAAAATGAACATTACAATTAATTATGTACCATGGAATATATTTATAGAGAAATCATAGTCAGTAGATGCTGTTTTCATTGAAAGAAGCTAAAAGCCCAGAATTGTTTAATCGCTTTAGGATGTATTAATTATTCTCCAGGTACTGGTAACCTTTCTCTGTCCTTTCTAACCACACCACATACACAAAAAGAGGTAGATTAGCAGAAAATTACCTTACTTTCACATTCTGTTGAATACAGGAGAGATTCTCACTTTAAGGGGACATCAAAGAGTCATTGTATGTGTGAGATCTGATTCACCCTGTGTTTCAGTCGCCACTAGGGAAAAGATGATCGTTTTTTAACACAATGAGGACAAGGCTCTTTTTAGCTATAACTTAGATACACAGCTGCTCAGTTAAACTTGCTGAAGCAACTAGTATAGCCCATAGCCCCAGAATTTCACAGGAAAAGGTTGACTGTTGGGGCTTTTTGCATGTTAAATATCCAGTCAGGTCATCGCACATAGTTGTAAGAATACATGCCGGCGCTTTGCTTGCGTGGTTTTTAACTGTCTCTGCATATGTGATGACTTCTGTATGGATGTAGGGAGAATGTCCACCTGGTCCATTCTCTTGTCCTACAAGAAATGCATTCTTTTAGATGTGGATGAAAAGAATTCTTCCTCACATTTAACCTTAACATTTAACCTTAACTTTAACACCATAACCTTCCATCTTTTCCTGTTGTTCTACATAGCAGCAGCTATGTCCTACCCTGTTAGATATAATGTAGGACAAGCACTGAGCCTGCTCTGGAGTTTCTGAGTGTTTCTGACTTCTCTAAGTTTTAGTTTAGTTTTTGTTTAGTAAAACAAACTAAAATCCACCTCAGCACTTCTGTGATTTGTTCATCTCGGTCGATCTGTTTGTTCTTCAGGCTTTCCTTAAGAAAGATTAAAATCCTTATATTTCTTCAAAGTCATTGTCTATAACGTTGAACTATTTATGGGAACAGCTGATTCAGCTTCCCCATGTAAAAATGGAGCTAGTTTTCATTATTTAAAAAAATATGAATTTTTAAAAAATGTTTTATGTAATGTCATTGCAACATATATATACCTAGTGAAATGGTTCAAAACCCTTATGTAAATATTTTTTTGAAATTCACACAGGTTTGAGAAGCAGAAGATCAAGCCTATGTAAAAATGAAATAATATCATTATCTTATGTCAATTTTAAAATTCCACAGAACCAATAGTGTATTAAATTCTATTGCAGTTTTCCATAAGAGCTTAGTAAACATATTTTTGATATTTGCATGTATGATGATATACAATATTGTCCACAAATACAAAACAGGGTATACAATGAATAAAACAAGCATGAACTCAAGTTTCTTATTTAATGCCTGATTCTTACGTAGATGTCAATGGCAAGACTAATTCATTTCACTGAGGCAGGGCCAAGTCCTAAGTGGCCAGTAATGTGCCCTTCAGCTTCATGTTCACTCACTTCAGTTCAGTTAACACACTTTTCCATTGCTGTCACAATTTTAAAACATTTATTCTGTAAATGAATAGTCAGCTTTCATGCAAACAGTCCATTAGCATTAATCATATGACTCACATGATACACTGAAAAAAAAAGTGTTTGCAATATTTGTCTTGTTCATGACAAATAAGTAGTTGGTAACAAATGAAAAATAACAATTGAAAAGAAAGATTAGAACAAACTGATTTCTTGACACCATTTCACTTCTTTTCTTAAATATGAAAAGCCATATTCTATTTGGCGAAAATATGGAGGATGGCATTTCTGTTAATCAAAGAATGAGTCTTTGTCTACTTTACGACTGATCCTGTTGCATAAATTAATATTTGCATTTCCTTATATATTGCTGTCAGGAAAATTCTGAAAAATCCCAACTTACTGGAGTACAAAATGTGCAAGTGCATAAAATAATTGAATGAACCGAGTCACTGGCATTGACTATTGTAAACAGATCCTTTCTTGGACTTATCTAAAGAATTCTAAAGTATTAAAACCTTACAGCTATCAAGACATGCACCTTCACCAGAGTTTGATTAAACACTGCTATGCAGACACTGGAAATAACTTGCATTAGGGTTTCTGCCTAACAAGACATTATGCTGAACCTGAACCAAAGCCCAGTGAATTCAGTATGAGATTTTTCCTTCAACTTTAATTGGCACTGGATCAAGACCTTTGTACACAATCTCCCATTTCTTCAACATTAAAACAATGCTTATGACTGTCAAACAACATTTTCCCCTTCAATATCTACTCAAAAGGAGATTTTGAAAACCATCCCAGGACTCTGCAAAACTAAAATCAGACTTAGATTTATGTGTCAAATAATAAACTTCAAGAGCTTGTTACATTGCAGATGGAGATTTTAACTGCCATGTTGTCCTTCTAAAAATAACATGCAGTTTTCCAGTGAGCATGCAGTCAACTAGCAATATCAGTGTGCATTCATTCTGCAAAGAATCATCTGGAAAATCCATCTTTACAGGTTTCTATAATCAAATCTTTAAAAACATGACACATCTCAAAGTGTTTTTATGTTTCACAGTGGACAGAAAAAAGACCACAGATAAAAGTGATAATGAATACACTATCTAAGAATCAATTGACAAATTTTTAAGTGACAATGCTGGCAAACCACAAGAATGAAATTTTAAGGTATTTACTGTAAGCCAAAAGGAAAAGATTTATATGCATTATCTCCAAGCCAAAATACAATAAAATCCATTTTCAGGCTTGAAATAAAATACAATCAAAAGGCCATTTATGACTTTGAGCCCCTGTCACCTTCTTATGTTTGAAAGTATTCCCAAATTTTCCAGCACCATTTTTACCCTTTTCTTTAAAAGGCAGATACTATTTAGTTACAAATGCACTTGTATGGTTTTTTAGTCCTGATCCAACTCCTACTGTTGCCAGTGGAATATTTTCTGTCGAATTCAGTGGGAATAAGAAAAGGTCCTTAAGTAAATCTTAGTGCCTTACATTAAAATGGTTGCTGTTAACAGAGATTTGTTTGTGACTGCCCCAGTGGCTTACCAGTAAGTTGATGGGGCATGAACAGTGTATTTCTTGAACCAGCTGTAAGGCAAGAAAGCTGAGGTTACTATTTGGATTCCCTGATGAAAAGCTGCAATTCTTTCATTTATAGGTAAATGTACTCTGGCTATTCCCAGAGTGACCTTGGCGGCCAACTGTGTTGCCCTTAGTGTCAGCAGAAAGAAGGCTATTGGTGTCAGTGGGCTTTGGATCAGGCTTTGAAGACAGAAAAATCTTGCTTAAGGAGGAAAACAGACATAACAAATAGTCCTGATTTCCAGGTTTCATCACTTAGAGTTTAGAATATCAACAAGACACTTTAAACCCTGAAGAATAATTGTTTTAAGTCAATTATTTTGACCCTGTATGTTTCTACAATTGTATACAATAATAAAGAAGAACAAATCTCTCTGGCGTACAAAAAAAGGCAAGTACTTTATTTATCAACAGCTGCTTTTTACACCATTGCAATGACTAAACAAATAGCATAAAATAAACAAAGGAGAGTATAAAATCACTTTATTCCAGCTGGTATCCCAAGACAACCTTTTGACTAAGTACAGAGTTAGATGTTTCAAGTATGGCACTTATATAAATAAGAGCAGAGAGAAGGTGATATTTTCACAGTTAAAAGCAATGAATTCTGTTCCTTTGGTATGTGTGTCATTATAGGTAATTGTAGGTAAATACATAACTTGGCTGGCATGAAACAACTCCACCTTATTCATGCACATATTAGGGGATGAACTGGAATGTACCAATATATTTTGCAGATCATAACCAATGTAAGATGATTAAGGTCTCTGGTGTGTATGTGTGTGGACAGGCAAACAAAAAAAATGGCAAAATTATATTCAGCATTTATTGTTTAACATAATTAATCGATGCACAAACTATGATAGAAAATGGCTAGTAACACACACCAGGAATAAACTCTGTGATTTAGACAAGCAAAATAATATAAGACATCTGTGAGATAGGTGAACGCAGATATCCTGATTGAGCTGTGGTCAGGTTCCTTACAGTGCAATTACCCTCCTTTTAAAACATGCTCACATTTGCACATGGCAACAGTTTCCCCACCCCATCCCACCCCATATAGAGTATCCTTGCAGATTTTTAATATGAACATTCTACATGTTTACAACAATTAGTCAGACAGTCCAAAACTGCAAACTTATCCTAACAACGACCAAAAAGCCTCTCCACCAACAGATAACACCCAATCATTAGAAAGAAAAGTGGGAATAATAGTAGCTGTGCTGTAAGGCTAGATCAAGCATGGTTTTATAGCTGTTTTTTCAGTCTTTTACATAGCATGGCATTTTGCATCTAGTTCAGTAAGTGCAGATCCAATACCTTAATGGCTTTCTTGGTAGTTTGATAAAACACTTGCCTAAGCAATGTACCTTTCTCTAATGGTGTCTGGGTCTGTTCCACCTGGCACAGTGTTTCAGTTCTGTCACAGCCTCACACATAAGCTGAGTCACTTGACTGAGTCCTGCCAAAGTTAGGCATGCTCATTCTTGGCAGGTCCTTATTTCTGATTTCGTATATGGATTTCCTTTTTGCCTGTACTCCTCTCACTGCCATTTTGATCTTTCTCCAGCCCAAGTGGTTCAGTTCTGCCAAATTGAGCACCACACAAATCCCACTGACAGCAAACATGAATACCAAGAATACAGTCTTCTCAGTGGGTCTAGAGACATAGCACTCTACTTCTTTAATGCAAGGGTATCTGTCACATTCGTACATGGAAGGGACATTGAATCCATACAGAAAATACTGTCCCACTAAGAATCCAATCTCTAGGGCATTTCGAAAGACCACTTGGATGATATAAAATCGAGAAATGCCTTCTTGCCTCCTCATCTTTGACTTTGTAGTTCTGATAGCAGGATTGGGGATTTCCTTCACTTCTAAGCAGTCTGGTTCTGCCTCTTTGGTGGAGTTCTCAGTGTTCTGCAGCACCCCATTGACAATCGTGTTCTTGATTTTCTTACTATCCTCACGCTTCATTGAATCCTGGTCCCTCTCCAAGGTGAGGAATACAGTGGAGTACCTCCGTTCCCTCTGCTTAGCAGATTGGTGAACGGAGTACGTTATGAAGCAAAGGCTGGGAGTGCACACCATGATGATCTGGAACACCCAGTACCTTATATGAGAAATAGGGAAAGCCTGGTCGTAACAAGCCTGGTTGCAGCCTGGCTGCAGCGTGTTACAGACAAACATAGTTTGCTCGTCATCGTACACCGTCTCCCCTACAATGGCCACAATGAGTATCCTGAAGATCACCACCACGGTCAGCAGGATCCTGGAACAGAGAAGCCCGTCAGTGCGCGCCGCCGCCGCGCGGCCGGGAGCTGTCCAGTGCTGACCGGGC